AAATCTCTGAATAGAGATATTATTTCAGAAATAAAAATATTATATTCAATATGTTAAATTCTTCTATACTTGTGTATATATATCAAAATTCACTTTTTTGTGAAAAAGAAAGAAAAAAAGTCTCAACTTTATATCCATATGTGTGGGTCTATATGTTTGTATAAGCATAGACAAAAAGAATATTAACTATGGTTACTTCAGGGACTTGTGATGAAAGGGAACTATCTCTATTTACTCTGTATACCTTTATGTACTTAGAATTATTACCATGAGCATATATTAGCTTTACATTTTTGAAATATACTGTTAGTATATAAAATAAGTTTATAAAGCCAAAATTTTACATTTACTTTTTCTTCCTGACACCTCCTATTCCTACCCTTTAAAATATTTGTAATAACAAAATAAAACTAAGCAAATCAAAATGGAAATAATATAAAGGTCCACCAAACAAGATTTATAAAATCAATTATAAGAAAGAGCACAGTGCTGTGCTTATTAAAAATAATGTATTATATCTATAAGTACTGCTAACTATATAATAAGATATATTCATTTACAAAAACAAAGTCCAGAGGAATACATATGATTCTAGTTGTAGAACTACAAACAAAATTTACATATATATGTTTATACATATAAACATAATTTTACAATATGCTGATCTATCTACCTATCTACCTATCTATCTATCTATCATCTATTAGTTCCTGGAAGAATTCTCAAGAAATTATCTACAGTAGTTTAGTAGCAGAACTGAGGGTCCACTTTCCACACTGATTTTTTCCCCACTGTGTTAAACAAAATAAGACGATAAAGTATAATTATCTTACTCAAAACCCTTAGATTTTGTTATTATGTATCAAATTAATCATAAAAATAGGATTTTTTTGCCTATCTCTAAATATTTTATAAAATATACTTTGACATATGTCAACATTTTTTCAGGAGATTTTAAGTTGTACATTGATAATTTTATTATAAATATATAAAGGAAAAACCTTAATTTTCCTATCTTATAGTCACATTTTTAAAGTTTCAACAAGTAATTTTAAAGTTTCAAAAGCCCCCTTTCACTCTTAAGGTTTTATGAAAACTGTTTAATTGTTCCCAAGGAAAACTAAAATATTAAGAAAATAAATAAATAAGTAAAAGTTGGCCATGCAGGGCTTCTGAAGAACTACCAGTGAAAAAGTTGGCATCCCAAACCAGTTTATTGCATCCATGTATCCTCTTAAACTAGTAGATATATCTTTTACTTGTCCCTATAAGTTTATCCTTTCGCTATTTTGCAGGATTCTTTTAAAATCATAACTAGCTATATTATTTTCTCCTGTTTCATTTGCTATCTAAAAACTTCTCTTTGTGCCCATAAACTTTTTGTTTTCCAAATCACTTAAACTTTCTAACCGTAATTGTAGTACTTACAAGAGCTTTCTTATTTTTCGACATTGTGATTATGCCTTCTCTAAAATGTGTGTCCTGGGTGCTCTAAACCTTTCATGAGAGTTATCAAATTCCAGTAATCAACAGAAGATATGAAACATTCTAAGCTGGTTTGCTAAACTGTATTAACCACAGATTTTGTTTAGAGATAATTCAAAGGAGATGTAAAATAAATACTTAAACAACAGGTCTTCGATTTCATATCGCATGTATCTTCTTTATTTCATCAGTGTTTACACTCCTTATTTTCTTTGAGGATTCTATGGCTTTATAGAGAACACATATTATGTTGAAATACTACTGATTACTTTCCCAATACATCATGTGTACCAATTTCCATTCCATTTGAAAGATGAAAGGCCACTTTAGAGCTATTTTTATGTCTCTGGCCCACAGTTTAGAACTCAGTCACTTGACTCTTTAAGTGGGACTGTGTAGATTTATGGAGTCTCTGGTGGCACTCAGCTGCTAACTGAAAAGATCGCAATTCAAGTCCTCCCAGAGGTGGCTCTGAATAAAGAACTTGTAATCTACTTCCAAAAGATCAGCCATTAAAAACCCTACGGAGCACCGTTCTTCTCGGACACACATGGGGTTGCCATAGGCTAGATGGCAAGTGGTTTTTGTTTCATGTAGATTTATGAGCAGGAAGATAGCAAGACAAGTTCTTTCTGGAGCATTCAAAACCAGTCTGGTAAAAAGCACAGTACTCAAAAGAAAGCATAAAATTAATTTCCACAGTGATCAGAGGTTTGGGCTTGTTGTAATTTGGAATAACCTGCTCAGGTATTAGTGAAGTAGTATATATTTATAATAATTATGGAAGAAAAGTGAATAGGACAGATGATAAAAGGGGAGTACTGATGAGCTATGATTAAAAGTCTCTGTAAATTATATGTTTAAAATATCTGCAAAAAGCCTATATGAGTTCACAGATGTTAAACATATATAATTCTACCTAGATTCTAAGTTAATCAATGTTCTCTATTTCAGCCATGTCTATTTCAACAGCTTTGCTGTTGGTATTGAAACCAGAAATATATGTCAGAATCTAGGAGGCGGAAGCCCTAATTCAGAGTAATATTAAACTTTCTCATAGATTCTCAGTCAGAAACTCACTTAGTTAAAAAAAAAAAAAAGTTTATTTTATTTATCTTAATTAGTTCTCAATGGATTGTGGTGTGTGTGTGTGTAAGACAGGTCACAGTGACTTTTTTAAGTTTTTTCTTTAAGTCAAGTAGTACCATAATGCACTGTAAAGTTACTCCATTAGGAATGCATTGTTTTTTCAGAGTAAAAATTCTGATTTCTAGGAATCTTTGTAATTTAAAAAAAAAAACACAGCTGCTTATCTCAAGTGAATATATTTTCTTACTTTGTAGAAACGTCTTGTCAAACACCAAGAGGATGAATGCTGAATAACTATGGCCTAGTAATAAGATTGGAAGGAGCGCTGGTGGCAATAGTTGAGCACTCGGCTGCTAACCGAAACGTTGGCAGTTTGAATCCACCAGCCACTCCACAGGAGAAAGATGTGGCAATATGCTTCTATAAAGATTACAGCCTTGAAAACCCCATGGGGCAGGTATACTCTGTCCTGTAGGATCGCTATGAATCGTAATAGACTCGATGACACCCAATAACATTAATAAGATTGCAACTTAATTGTGTGCCGAGTAACACGATCCAAGAGACTGTCTAGAGGCTTAAAGAAGGATGCGGTAAATTCTTGAAGGAAAGTGTCTCAATAAGAAAACAAAACAAATCAAAAAACACCTTACCACACTCCCAATTACAGTATATGAAGCAAACTATTTCTAATTCTGGGATTGGAAAACCTTTCTCTTCTAGATCTATTATCTGTTGATTTTTACCTGGTCCCCTGACACGCTCTTCTTTCCATGTCCATTGCTTCTACACCTCATTGTTATCATTTTATGAGTAAATTAATCAAAGATCCTAAGTAGTCTTCTGGTCTCCGACACCTCTTCTTGCCTATGTAGAGGCTGCACAGTTAAAAGATGTACTCTCCCAAATTCAGACATCTGTCTGTGCTTTATACGGGATAAAATTGATTACTTTCCCAATTAAACTTGATATTCCAATGCTCAAGGATGGTCTCCATTATTCCACAACTTTACCATGTATTTAATCATTTCATTGCCTATGTTCTCTCTTATGATGCAATAACAATTTCTTCTGTTTTTTTTTTCCTCTCTCTGCCTTTCACCTTCACCCTCCCGCCACCCGATATAATTGCTAGTCTGTTGTTAAAGTTCAGTTCAAATGTTTAGTACACTTTTAAGCCTTCTTTGAGAACCTCAGGGAAAAATTATTCACTCCTCACAATATACTCCCTGTTATGGGTTGAATTATGTCCCCCAAAAATATATGTTTTAAAACACGACCTCTATGCCTGTGGTTATAATTCCATTTGGCAATGGGTCGTCTTTGCTATATTAATGAGGCAGGATTAGTGTAGGGTGTATCTTGAGTCAATCTCTAGTGAGATATAAAAGAGATTAAATAAGCTAGCAGAGAAGAGCGGGGGAAGAGAGATGCTAAGCCACATGAATATCGCCCAGGAGCAGAAGCTCAAAGAGACAAGGACCTTCCTACAGAGCCGACAGGGAGAGAGAAAGCCTTCCCCTAGAGCCGGCACCGTAACTTCGGACTTCTAGCCTCCTAAACTGTGAGAAAATAAATTTCTGTTTGTCAAAGCCACCCATTTGTGGTATTTCTGGGAAAGCAGTACTAAGATACTCCCTTATCATTTGTCTTTCTCACTAGCTACTTATACATACCTCTGTTTCTACCATAAATCCTATGCATTCCTTGAAGGCAGTGGTCGGCTCCTCCTCATTTTTGTATCTATAGTATCTGGCACTCAGTAGGAATTCAATAAAGGTACACAATTGCTTATCTGTGAGTTATGTGCATTATACACTTTTATTAATGCAAGACTGACGTTGGACTTTTGGTCATTTTCTACTTTTAAACAGGAGTTTATTTCTTAGGTTTTTCTTCTGCATTCATGTTAATAAAAGGGAAATGTCGAATAAATTCATAAAAACAGCATCTGTGACTTTGGGGGAAAGCATTAAGGCATTTTATCTCAGCCAGCTTTCTCTCTCACAAGTAGGCCCCTTAACTACAAGTGGGATTTAATTGCTCCTTAAGTACATCTAACATTTATGCTTCCACAATATTGCCCACTAGCCATTTAGCACTTCTGTGGTAGTTTCCTTACCGAAAACTCATCAATTTTACTGTGAATTCTTACTCATATTCAAAAGTATCAGCACAGAAAAATAAAAAAAAATCAGTTGTTTGTTCAATGCCAAGTTCAGCAATTTTTTTTTCAAGAAAGTGAATGAGTTAAAGTAATAAGACATACACTGAAAATCCAAGTTTATGAATAGAGTAATCATTACAAAATAACAGAAACTTACATCTATTTGGAGACTTTACTTAGGCTTCTTCCTGTCTAGAGAAAATATTTAGTTATGTGTTCCATTGTGCCAAGGACAGACTGGCCCTTTCCAGACACTTACCCTCTGACAGCATGAATAAGTCTCAATGATGGATAGGCAGTTCGCACTCTCAGTTTATTCTTAAGAATTAATGCATTAACCCACTCCACGTGCTTCTCTCCTCCTTTGACCATGAAAGCAGGGATCCAAAGGACACTGTCATTCAGCATGGAGAGTCTATGCACAAACTTTTCTCTGTCACTCTCATTCCGGAAGCCTCCAAATGCTCTTTGTACAACTGATGGATTCATGGTAATAAAATCAGATTTAGTTCCCACATCTGCAGCAAACTCCACCACGGGGGCTAAATTACACCTAAAGAGGGGAAAAAATGGACAAATGAAAAATAAATATGAAACATTTACTCCTAAAACAGTCTGCATGAAAATAAGAGTGGGGAACAAATGTAAGACATTTTCACACCAGGTGGGGAGAAAAAAAAAATTAAAGATAATCTCCCTGGTAAAATTACATTTTCACTAAGTGTTCACACATTGAGAAATATTATTCTCAATAAGGATGTGCACCCTTAGTATAGGTTTCAAAGTGTCACTTATATTAATCCCACTTGTCTAAGAATACTCTCTGCTGTTATCTATACAACAGCACATGACAGGAATTCCTAATAGATGATTTTATGATGGTAAATTTACAAGGGCTCTTTTGCCATGCAGTAGGCAATCTAAACTGTATGCTGTTCTATATGTAAGTAAAACACATTGGATTCGAGTTACCAATCTGCACCACTTTTCAAGCTTAAGTCATTTGAACAACTTTATACATGTAAGTAAATGAAGATGGCTTTCCTATACCCTCAGGTTAAGGGAAAAGAACAATTCCCTTGACCATTTTCCACAGCCATATTTGCAATACCCTTCTATAGGCCTAAATGGGAATGCAAAGTAAGAAAAATGGAGTTGTCACATTTAATATGCATTTTGAGATTTTTAAGCAATGCAAAAACTACTTTATGTTCCTTTTGAGGACATCCTGCACACCAAGTGCCTGTCTTCCCTGTTAGGCCACATGCTCCCTCTTGAGAAGTGAGGGAATCTGTGTGTCCTGCACCCATCAGTGGCTCCATGGGAGAAAAGTGTGGCAGTCTGCTTCTGTAAAGATTACAGCCCTGGAAAACCTCTGAGTAGGAATCGATTCAATGGTAACAAGTTCTCAAGAGCTTCACTAAGTGCCTGGACTTGCTTTTCTTCTTGTAAAGAAAGAAAGCTTTGGAAAGCACCTTGAATTTCATATCCAACCAATTAGTGATGCTTCTTTGAGTCTGTCACATAGATCTTTGGGTACTTAACTTTAAAAAGCTATACTTTAAAAACTATTTTTTAACTTTCTAAAAAGGCAAGTTTTAATCAGCTGATAGGTGAAAAATTGTATTTTTAACAAGAGTTTCCTAAACTGAGAAAAAAAAAATTATTTGAATTTATTCAGTCTATACCCCCTTGAAAATAAATACACACATACAGTAGATGGTTTTTATTTTTATTTTTTTCAGCTTTTTAAGGGAAGGGAAAATAAGCCAATTTCACGCTTCTGCAGTTTTGCTTGCATTATGACACTTGCTCACATTTCTCTTCCTCGTGCATTTTGATACATTCATTAAATTATCAAACATGTTAAATTTAATTAAAAAGTTAATGTCTGATGTGCTATTGAAAATACTGGCTTGTATATCCTTTCTTGTCTCTCTTAATTAATACACCTTATTACTTTCCAGATCTCTGACTACATTTAGCAACTAAAAGAAATATCTTTCATGTAACACAATTAAGCAAATTCTGTTACCTAGGGTGAGCTACTCAGAGAAAACAAACAAAAATTAACACATTACTTAGAAATCAATACTCATTTCTGTTTATACATCTTTAATTACACCTACTAAATTATATGACAGAATACTTACTTGTCCCTACCCATGATCCATGCCACTATTTGAAATTAGACATTATTCATCCCTGTCACAGTAAAGATATTATGAACAGGACTGTCCTAAATAAGAACTACTACATGTGAAAAGAAACCAAAGTGAACATGTTACAGTCGGATCCACAGAAGAATGAGAGCTTGATAATCTTAAAATCCTAAAATATACTCCATGCAAGCTTTAAAAGTAGTCTAAAATCCTAATCAATATGAGTATAATACGAATTTGAATACTGTGGGGTAAAGTGCATTCTGAACATCATTATTACGGACATTTTTCCTTCCTCAGGGAAAAGAAGAGAATACTTGTTAACATTACAGTTAATCTCAGAGGAGATGGCTTCAGACATACCTTTCTGCTATAAGAATTCCTCAGCTATATCTTTCAGAGAATTTCAACTGTAGAAACATAACAACTATATTTTCTCTAAAACTGCAAAAATAGTCAGCATCACGACAGTTAAAGACAGCAAAAATAATCATATTCTGCTAAATTACCTGTGTAGGAATAAGGTCAATTACTTTGTGCTTTTCATTGCTTCTCTTATCACATGTTTTACAACCTTCCCCTTCCCCCATGTTTACCAACACTCAGTCTTCTAGGATTGACTCAACCTGTTTCTAAAACATAACTGTATAACCACAAATTTTAAGCATCAATAAGGTTGGGTGTTGTAAAGACAGGTAATTTCCACTTTGTAAGCAAAAAGAAACTAATAGAATGATACTATTTTTGGAGTACGGGTTGACCTGGAAGACAAACCAACATATCTGCTGCAATTAAAGAACAACTGGACCGATAAGCAACATTATGATCAATACAGAAAAGATTGTAATTTGTCAAGGATTTCATTTTACTTGGATCCACAATCAACACCCATGGAAGCAGCAGTGGAGAAATCAAAAGATGCGTTGCTTTGAGCAAATCTGCTGCAAAAGACCTCTTTAAAGTGCTAAAAAGCAAAGATGTCAGTTTGGGACTAACCTGCACACTGACCCAAGCCATGGTGTTTTCAGTCGCCTCATATGCAAATGAAAGCTAGATGATGAATAAGGAAGACTGAAAAAGAATGGACGACTTTGAATATTAATCTATTGAATATAACATGGAATGCCAAAAGAATGAATAAATCTGTCTTGGAAAAAGTACAACCAGAATGCTCCTTAGAAGCAAGGATGGTGAGACTAAGTCTCACAGATTTTGGATCTGTTATCAGGGAAGATCAGTCCCTGGAGAAGGACATCATGCCTGGTAAAGTAGAGGGTCAGCAAAAAAGAGGCAGACCCTCAATGAAATGTTTTGACACAGTGGTTGCAACAATAGGCTCAAGCATAACAATTGTGAGAATGGGCAGTGTTTTGCTCTGTTGTACGTAGGGTCCTTATGAGTTGGAACTGACTCGACAGCACCTAACAACAACAAAGTCAATGGGGTTCTAACTAAAGGAACAACAGAACATCAAAGCTTAATCAATCCACATGAACTTTATTGTAGTTTTTATGACCTGAGCATAGCACAACAGGACATTGTGAGGGATGGCAATTGAGGTACTAAAAACAGTGTGACAGGAAGCAGGGCTAAGATGGCAGAGTAGTCAGACAATTTCAGTGGACCCTCTTACAGCAAAGACCTGAAAAAACAAGTGAATCAATTCTATATGACAATCTAGGAGCCCTGAACATCTAAGGCAAAGTTGAGGAACCAGACTGAGTGGCAGGGGGAGGGAGAGAAGGTTTGGAAGCAGCGAGGAGTTGTCATACCTGACCTGGTGAGAGTCTAAGCCCGTCAGGCCCGATCAGCTCAAGGGTGAGGGGTGAGGCAGGCAAGCAGCAGTACTCGGGAGGCATATTCTGCACTGAGACAGACCCAGCTGCAGACAGTCTACTTGGCCATCCAGAACCAGTGAGAAGCAGCCCTAGATCACCGAAAGATAAGTACTTGTGTCTGGCCTACTGCGCAGATCAAAAATACCCCCCTTAGGGAAAAAGCTCTCTCCCATTTACTTCCTTGCTCCCTGCTCTGCACTGGATCGCAGACCGGCTTCAGCAATCGACAAGCCCCATGGGCCAGAAGTAGGATCCCTCACACAAACGGAGCCATTCTCCCTGCCTTGGAGAGTGAACAAACTAACAAACAGGAGAAAAAATAAACGGCCGGCTCCCCTAAGCCAGGAACCCAGGGTAGGGACAGATCCTTTTCCTAGGCGCAGGCATAAGGGATCATGGACTTTAAGTTTCTTTCCCCCTGCAGAGACTTGTGCGGGCCCATTTCAACAGCATAGGCCCTCATCAGTGCAGTACAACAGGGTACATACCTGAAGTTTAACTTGAACTGTTTCAGCTGTGCAGTGGCAGGTTTGTGACATTTGACACTGCTCTGTTCATTAAGCAGGGTCTTCACCTACCCACACCAGGGGCCTGAGGACTGGTGGCACCACCCAAGCCACCTAGCCACCTGCGACAGGGGTCCAAGAATAAAAGGCGCCTCCCCAGTCCTTACAGCCAACAGCACTGGATGCTCATAGTCTGGCTGCAAAAACCTACCCAACTACACGCTCTAGGGAACAGGGACACGCCTTCCTCTTGGACACTCAGGGGTGACCGTCAGCGCCCTGCCTTGTTCAGAGTGCGTCCACTGCAGCCAGATGCCTGTGACTACATCAATCACCCATGCCTATCTAGGACTGTAGGTGAGAGCCTACACCACACATTTGGTGGCATTCTACCTGGGCATCTGAGCTGAATCCACACAGGAGGAGTGGGTGGACTCCTGAGCTCACATACCTAGTAACAGATCTAACCACCTAGTGACAGGACATTAGAGCTTCAAAGGTGACAATAATCAAACTAGCTCATACAAGCAGCCTATTTAGGCATATCAAAACAAAACAAGAAGCTAGGATACAGCAAGCAAATATAAAATAAAAAAAATTAATAACTTATTGATGGCTGGGAGACAATAGTCAATATCAAATCACATAAACAGGCAATCCATGACGGCTTCAGCAAGCTCCCAAAATAAAGAATCTAGAAATTTTCCAGAGGAGGAAAACTTCCTGGAATTACCAGAGACAGAATACAAAAGATTAATATACAGAACTCTTTAAGACATTAGGAAGGAAATTAAGCAAAATGCAGAACACGCAATAAAGGAAATTAAAAACATTAGAGAACATAATGACAAATTTAACAGGCTGCAAGAATCCATAGAGAGACAGCAATCAGAAACTCAGAAGGTTAACAATAAAATTACAGAATTAGACAACTCAGTAGAAAGTCATAGGAATAGAATTAAGGCAATGGAAGTCAGAATTAGTGAGACTGAAGATAAAACACTTGACACCAACTTATTTGAGGAAAAATCAGATAAAAGGATTTTA